CCCCAAAACCCCAAAACCCCATCAAGAGTGAAGTCTAAAGATATATAAATCTTTTTAAATATAATTAAGTTAAACTTGTTCAAATAAATTATTAAAATTCCATGGAAATCTACGGGTAATCAATCTATTTCAATAAACATATATTGAAGATAAATTTTCAAGTTTTGCTTGGTTGGATCTGAATCTACAGGGAAAACTAGCATCAACTAAAGATTCATTGTAAAAGCCTATTAAGCTAATATAATGTTTTACAGGATGATTTCTTTTCTGAATAATACTAGCAAACAATAGGAATAGATTTTGTATGATCTAATCAATTATTTCTATATATCTCATTTTTTATAAATTTTATAGAAATGCACTACATTATCAGTTGATAACAGAGTCATTAAAGCCCAAATAGTAATTAGTTTGTTAGCTCTGCTAAATTTTCTCATAGTGGGATCTATCAGGAGGAGACAAATATAAAAACTTAATGGACTCATATTTCCGCAATACCTAGGGTTTTATCTTTGTTTTTAGCAAGACAGAAAACAAGAGTTTGCACAAACTTCAGTATTACATTGATAATGCTAGACTCAATTGCAGCAAGTAAACTTAATTTATACTTGTAGGGAATAAAGTAGATGACATCCAGCACATTCAAGTTTCCTCTGATGAGGCTAGAGCTTTCGCTCATGTAAATAAAATGAGTTATATTGAAGCATCAGCAAAATCGGGTTACAATGTGAGCAATATATTCTCTATTTTAGTGCAGGAGATTATGTAAAAGCCTATTAAACTATAAATAGCTCATAATTACCTATATCAATGGAGTGACTTAGATGGCTAGTCTAATGGATCATATAATGGTAGTCAAAATAGCAATTAGAATAACTCGATAGAAGGAGGTAAGTTTTTAAAGATATTGACATTAAAATCTCAAGGATCTACACAGAGTAGTAAAGAGAGAAAGTTTTGAAGTGAAGAGATTAAAAGGGAAGGCTCAACTTTGTTAGAAAGTGATTAGGTTTTTAAAGTTTTAGTAATGGGTCATGCTAGCAGTGGTAAAACTTAAATTGTCAATTAGTTTGTGGTATGGATGCATTTCTATTTTTTCTTTGGTTTTATAATCATTGTAATTTATAGAATGGAAGATTTTGGGATCAGTATATACCAACAGTCGGATTTGATTACGTAATACTACTTATACTTAATCTTAATTCTTAGAGATATAAGAAAGTTGAAATGAATGAGAGAAATATAACCCTTGAGATAGTAAGTTACTGATTTACTATTAAAACAATAAAATACAGAAGGACAAAGCAGGAAGGCATGATTACCAAATAATTGTTTCACCTTATTACTATGGAATAAAGGGTTTTGTCATAGTCTATGATTTAACCAGTGAAGAGTCTCTGGCAGAGGCGGAGAGTATAGTGATGTCTATTATTACAAAATCCTTAGATAATGTTGCTATAATACTGGTGGCAAATAAAATAGATCTCCTAGAGAGGAAAAATTCAGCTGACATGGATCCTCTCTAGGAATCTTAGAATTCTTAAGGATCTAAAGGAGAAGAAGACAATCAGTCTAGTCAAAATTCTAATTCAAACGAGGATGATGATTAAAATAAAGAAAAGTTGAGTGCAGAGACAAAAAATGATGAAATTAAATAAGTACTCTTGATTAATAATCAGTAATCAGAAATAAATACAAGCATTGATCCTGAGAGATATTACCTTGCATTTCAAGGAAAGGAATTCGCTTTAAATCATGAAATACAATATATTGAGACCTCAGCTAGAACTGGTTTTAATGTTGACTCTTTATTTAAACTGTTAGCTTCTTAAATCCTGATGAAACAAAATCACTTTTGAATAAAGCTGAGAAGATCATAGTCACCTTGGCTAGTTTATTTATGGAAGCAATATTAAAGTGAATGTGTGAAGTGTATGATGATAAAGTATAATTAATTCTCTTAATCAAAACTTTACCTTAACATTCGTGATATATTAATAATTAATAAAAATTTAACTAATAAATAGATGTTAATTAAGGGTGAGTCTTCTTATGGCTTGCTTGGATCGAAATGCTCAGTTTCCAATAAAACCATTCTTGAATGGCTTTAGCTTCTTCTTTACAACCTTGTGATGTCTGATTTTCCACATCTTTCTGCCACTTGTAGGTTCTAATGATTCGTAGTTCACAAGTGCTGGGTCTTCATTCTTGAATGCTAAGTCTTCTTATTTATCTTAGTTTAACTCATTCTAAGTTAAGTGATATCTTTGAATTGTCGCTGGTAGAGATGCAAGGTTCTATACTAGACTACTATTTGACTCAGTTGCATCTGCAAATCCTTCTAACGTATTTAGTCCTCTTTAGCTTGTTAATTATTTGTCACTAGACAATATGCCTGAGAAGGAGCCGATTCCACTAAGTATGCTATTAGTTCCAACAGTGCATTGCTGGATTTACTCAGGAGTGATGGCCATAACTTGCTGAGGTAGAGCATATGAAGGCAAGAAGCCCAAATGCTTGAACATAAATCTGTCTCTCTACGAGGTGTCAGACTTGGCTAGGTCGTTAAGCAGAATCTCTTTTTCTTGAGGGTTGTTAGAGAAATAGTCCTTGAGTCTCTTATTGGTGAGCAGTTGCTTTTTGAATTCATTGGTCTTTTCCTCTTTGACCTTTTTGTTATCTAGAGTCTTGACCACATCCTCAACTCTAGTCTTTATTTTCATAAGTTCTTGCCAAAGCACTGGAATACACTTAAGCATGTGAGCATTACTGAAAGCTTTCATAAGCTTACGTTGATAGAGTTCAAGTTTGTCCTTATCTGACTGAGGATTAATGAATGTCAACTCACTTCCATTGTCAAACTCAATATGCTGGCCTGCTTCCTTGTACTGGTTATATTTCTCAGGAGCATCAAAGTTGATGACATGTTGAATGTTTTTGAATTCAGGTTGGTGGGAGTAGCCAGACTGCAAGACAATCATGATGTTGAATTGACCAATATGGAAGAAATGAATAAGTGATTTGGCTTGATTCTTAGGCATGTCTGGGGCTAGTACAAATGCCTTCAATTGGAATCTCTGCATAAATATTTTTATTCTGTAAGCTTGAACTACGTCGCTGGTGTAAATCAAAGTTTTTCCATCGAGAATGCCCAACTTGATCAAAGTGAAAAGCAAAACGAATTTATCAAGATTGGTTTGAGTCAGCACATAGTAATGTTCAATTCTTTCAACTAATAACAAATTTATTACACTTTATATTTACTTACATTTGCTTTTAACTCTGTGATCTTCATTAACCTGGATAATCAACGCCTTTTGCTCTCTGAACAAAGCCTTCTTGAGTGCTTAAAAGCTTTCATCCTCCTTTTAGTCATCTTTGAAGTTAGTTGTAATAATGGTCATGAACTTAGGCTCAGAGCTTAACTTAGCAATCTCCAATAAATCACTTGCCTAATCCAATGCGATGTGCATATCAATCTTGTCAACTATCAAACTAGCGCACTGAGTCTGCTTAAAGGCATCCTTTTTGCACAGATGCAGTGCTTGATTAGGAGTGCTGATAAGGACCTTGCATCTGGATTTATATATGGCTTTCATGTTAGCTTAGGCAGAAGTTGATGATTAATCAATATTCATGCTCTTTTTTAGAGTGATGATGTTTTCTGAGTTATCATCAGAGTATAGGTTCACAATGTCGAGCACATCATTGCAAAAAGTGGTCAGTTTCCTCACGAATTCCTCTACTTCCGCGCATCTGATGGTGCTATGGCACAGAATGAGCACGTAATGCATGTCAGATTTCTCGTTTGCCACTGAAGTCACTACTTTTCTGAGCAAATTATCAATAGTTGGCAACAGCAAAGTAAGCTTGATGCCACTCATCATTGAATAGCGCACTATCACATTCTTGTTTTGTTTTTTCTTCAAGACTGGAATCGCTTCTTTCTATGTAAATAATCAATATATAAGCTGAATAATTATTTCGAGAAAGTATAAATCAGCTAATGACTTACTTAGAGAACTGAAGGGTAGATGAATTATCTCATGGTCTGAACACCCTTGGCTAGTTCATTCATTATTTTAACGCCTGAGAGGAACTTAACCATAGTTTCAGAAGTATCTATGTTTGAGGCTATTGAAGTTTTAGCTAAATTAGACTAAGTAAGAGAATTTGACATATTCAATGAGCAATTAATTATTAAATAATACTAAGTCACTTTATTTTGCATATTCATTCATGTGGGGTTTTGGGGTTTTGGGGTTTTGGGG